AACTGCAAACGGTCGTTGTCTATTAATAATTCATACGCAACGACCGTTTGCACTTGAAAAGGAGGTCGCGAAATTATATGACGTCAATAAATTCTACTAATCTCATGATCTTCGCCTTGTTTGAATTTCTTCCAGGAAAACCATGTTTCACTTCCCTTGGCTTTGCCGACAATACTATCTGCGTAGATCTACTAGCCGCTACCGCCGCTGTCAGGGCCCGAAAAATGAGGCCCAAGGCAGAACGGGACAAGTGATTTCCGCTAGCGGTCGGTGAGCGTTCATCAACTAATGTTGTTATCTCACTCGCTAGAGTGTACGGGGTTCGAACTCTGACTGCTTGCTTTATACTAAAAAGCGTCAAAATATGTTTTATTACTTATATTCTCTAGAGCTGTTCACGAAATAGCGTTCGCTTTGCCAATACTGGATCGGTATCACTGCAAATATGACCATTGACCAATTTCCTTGAATAAATAAATCCAAAACTAAAAACAAGTCTGTACAATGCCAGTGTCTGAATGTGCACTGTCAAACCAAGCCCCCCACCCTACATAAATATTGCGAAATAACGATGTACGTTTGGACAAATCTAGTTTGGTTACTCAATGAGTCCATGCATTTGCCGGCTGGACAAGAGTTACACTGTATGACTGAAATCGTGCTTTTCTTAGCCAGCAGCTCGGCAGCTTGTGAATATTATGCGGTTATCCCGCAATGGCTGATAGACGTTGGCCCAAATATTCATATCAAATCTGGGTTTGCGCCTATAGACCCTCGAATATACTGATATACTTCAAGCTAGAGATTTGTTTCTGAGGAATTATCAGTTGATTTCATTATTCCAAAACCGTGGCGAGGAGTGAACCATAATTTTTACGTCCAAAAGTGGGCTTCTGTGATCCATTTCGCGTTTGACTGCTCGCTTGAGGGGGATACTTTAATCCGCCTCGTTGCAAGTAGAACTTAGGGATTGGGGGAGAAAAGATTCCGGGCGATGTTGGAATACCCAGAGTTAGAGAGATGTTTAAGGAGGGGGAGGTCAATGTACAGTCTACTGAGCAGATTATAAACTATACGTACAGGAAAAAGGATAGCTACTCCACTCGAACAAAGAGGAATTTTGAAGAGAAAATCACATGAATACGTTCGTGATATCCCCTCGCTGTCCATCGCATGACTTCTACGCGTGAACAACTCAAAAGACCTTACTAGTGTCTCGCAAGGGGATAACTAAATAGCGTATGCGTGCAATGAGAAAGTAAAATGCGAGGAAGGAAGACATGTACATAGCAAACATAGATAACTATCAGTGATACAACGTTCGAATCCATAAGCGGATATTTGGCTTTCAGTCTCAGAAGATCCATACTTGGGTCTGGTTGGTTTACGATGGTTGACAGGCGTGAACTGGCTACCATAGCCTCCATAGTCCTTTTCAGAACTCCATTATATGGATAACTACCGTCGTGAACAACGATGCCCTACGCGTGCTCCAAACTTAGGCAGATGCAGGAGAGTGCCTTGCATGTAAATTAGTTTATTTCATACTTGCGTAAAATCCGCCGCACTCTCCAGTCGGATAGCTTGCCACGGAAACAAGGTGGATGAATGATGAGAGAGAGAGAGAGAGCGACGTAGATGCTGCTCAAGTTTTCTTTACTGTGAACCAATTCAGTCGAAAGTCACAGGTGCTGTGCCCAATCTGTTATGCACCCAGGGACATCATCCTATGCGGCGGCTAGACTGTCATTGGCTCATCAAACAGGGTATGCTGCGCCATGCATATACGGGTACAGAACAGGTATGCGGCAAGTGCTGGAATTATGCCATGTCAGACACGGTGCCAGATCTCAGACATACTGAAAGGTGAAACCGTGAGGCAGTTCCGGGGTCGCATTCATCATGCCGTTCAAGAATTCACTCAGATGCTTCTCAAATCTAGCTCGACAGGATAGAATTCACAGCTTGCAAGTTTATCAACTGACTGGATAACCCTATGTCATGCAATGCTGAGCGTCACGTTGCCATTTCTTGCTTAAATACGCCCTGACAACAAATCACACCTATATAATATCGGAGTTTTCAGTTCGATTCGTGGTTGAACAAGGGCCAGTACATGGAAGTTGAACAACTTGGCTTACTGTACCTCTATTCGTACATTTTGTTGATTAAAAGTCGCCTAACATATCAGTAACATGTCACAGTCATTCTGATCTTGTTATTATATCAGAAAATTGTGAGCATTGTGAGGGGGATAGAAGTTCCGCAAGGCGCTTCTGCTTTCATGGGCGGTTGCACTCCTCGCCACCCATGACGAATACGCAAAATCGGGCAGTTATCTTGACGGAATTGCAGTCACACCAAGCATTCGACTGCATGTTGATCATTCTAGTTCGACCACAACTGAAGTCCAGCTCGCTGCTGTTGCTCCCTGGCGATGTATTGTACGCAACCAGCACGCCCCGGTTCTTACCCAAACGGCTGGGTGAAGCCACTTAAAGGTAACCTGTTTCGCGCAAACGTCAGTATATTTATTTGTCTTATTGCAGCTACAAACTGCCAGTTTAAGCCCTGCGACCTATAATATCTCCAGTAGTCTTGACTACGATTGTATGGGAGAGATTAAAACCGATAATGCGTAAATATACTTCAGTATAATCGAACACATGCACAGTTCAACACTGTTGCCTAAACTAGCGAAGGTTTTTGTCGAATCCAGTAGACGAAGTGTTTTGCGATATAAGAATGGATAACAATGAAGCCTCTAACCTCAAACTTGATCAATATATTATGCATGGGGCTGAAATGATAGGTTAGCCTGTTGTTTTGCAGCCGCGGGGAGGGAGGTGTGAGATCTCTGCCCTCAGAATAGAATACAGCCGAGAAGTGAGTAAAGCCGTAACCGTGTAACTCTTTTGTCCGCCTAAAACACAACCTGACAGCGTCTTGAATGTGACTTGAAAGGGCACCAAATGGTGGTCTTTAGAGTGGGGGTACTCTAAGTGCCTTTGAGCACCGGAAGCCCGACCGTGGGACTATTTCAAAAACTCATGTAGATAAACGTATTCGGACGTGCAGCCTTAGCTGGTTGGCGTGATTAACTAGTACGTGCGACACACACAATGCGGAACGAAATACCTTGCCCGTCACTACGCCCAACCGCATCGGCACTCGTCTTGCCGTACTTGGGGTAAGGGATGAAGCGGATTGTACGCAAGTACTCCGCACTGGACTACACTTACGTGCACTCCATCATTGTCGTTGTCGTAGTATACAAATTACTACTATAAGGACAGCACCCTTTTTAGAATGGTAAGGCATGAGGTTGAGCAGAAGCAGTTACGGAAACATACGTACCTGCTCTGAGCGAGTATACTCGACGCGCTAAAAATTCAGAACTGGAAAATAAGAAACCTCGCTACGGCATTTCAATGGCGTTTCGCTCCACCGTTAATAACTATTGGCCTCGTGCCGACAACCACGCATTGCAATCATTTATCATAGAAAATTATTCAGACTCATTGGACTACCCATCAAACCGCTTCTTCCTTTACTTATTTTGAGTTTTTTAGTACATCGAAGGCTGTTTCTGTATTTCAGCTACTCTCTGCATCGGGAACCCCACCTCTCCACAATACCAGTCATCATACTGACCCCGTATTGCCTGTGCTTCAGTCTCCAAATCAGCGTTTTGTCCTTTCAAATCCGATTGATGCTCACACGACCGATTAGGGGCAACCTTTTCCGTGACCGGGTCTTCACTTAACAAGTCAACAGCCGACTTCGGATTGACTGAAATGCACTAACGCACGCCTGAGAATTCTATACATCATTTTCGCACTCTCGACGATTTACCTCAAAAGCTCGCCTTAGTATTTTGCTCCGTTCTCCAAAAGAAGGTTCTGTGGGGAAACGATAGCGCGATTGTGTGTAGCAATATTGTATCCCCTAACCCTAACGGCACTTACAAGCCAGCATCCTCGGTGAGCGCTTGTCCATCGCACAATCCCTCTCAAAGATACCGAATCGCGATAACTACATCACCATGGGCAATCTGGGCGTATATATTTGTAATTTTAATCCTTAAGATCCTGTCGAATTTCTAATGACTTCCTCTAAATCACAATCATTTCATGGCACTTATTAGCGACCCACATCGGCTACAGAAATAGGTGATAAGCTTGAGTTTAAATCAGGGTACGCCTCCCCGATAACTCATCGAATACGCATATTACCTAATGAGACACCTTGTTTAGCTACTGTTAGGAAAGCATGCTAAAAATATAAAGGCAGACACGAACCCAAATATGGATAAAAGAGCCGTGGAACCCTTAGCGACACTTGCTGCCAAACCTAACGGATTTCAAACGCCGGTATTACTGGGTGTGATGGCGGGCTGTCGACGACGCTATCCACAACGCGTAGCTACCAAGTGAACGCTACTTGAAGACAAAATGCGAGAAATTATGCAGGGTAGAGGCAGAACAGCGACACGCATGCTAACTGGCATCTGCTTTTCTGGGTACCAGAATGCGTGAGCTGGGATTGGATGTGCAGCCGCCTGTGTCTCACGGACACTAAATTGGCAACATATCATAAATTCGATACTAAAAAAGGTAACCCACGTCTTACAACAAGTGTAAACAAAGCCTTGACAGCCATAAAAAAGGAATCCTATCGATGGCCAGTCTCGTCAGTTTTGGCGACTTCTATAGTCGTACGCCACCTAAAACTTCTAACTGTTGCTAAATTCAGTTGAGTGTAACCATAAAAAAGCAATTTTCAGAATATTTGGTCCTCCACCTTCCATTGGAAAAGAAGACAAGCAAAGAATTTCGGTTAAAAGCGCCTGTATGCATTAAGAAAATGCAATTTATTAGAAGACAAAAAGCGACCTCAAACATTTCCAGAGACAAGCAGATTTATGCTGTGCAGTTCGCAGCGATGTGTCCGGGTTCGTTGCACTTGTAACACACGTTCTCCGGGCAATTGCTCGCGATATGACCAACGGCTTGGCACCTAGAATGCCATCAACGACAAAAACTAATCAGTTACTTGTAGCACGTTCTTCCATCTCCACTTCCCCCACGATAGCCGCCGCGTCCGCTGCCTTGTGGACAGTCGCGAGCAAGGTGACCATCCTCACCACAATTATAACAGCCGCGACTGCCAGAAGAGTACCCACCCCTTCCGTCACCGCCACCACGGCGGCCGCCGCCGCTACCTTGTGGGCAGTCGCGGGCGAGATGACCCTCTTCGCCACAGTTGTAGCAGCCTCCACTAGCTTGTGGACACTCACGGGCGAGGTGACCCACTTCACCGCAGTTGTAGCAACCGCCACCTAGGAGGTGGGAAATAACTTGAGCTCGGGCATTCAAAACTACGT